TTAAAATCAATTTACATTCAACGTTCATGAATCAATATTTTCTCCCAAATTTAGCAAAAAGTACCAATTGATGCAAATAACAAAGACGTGAAAATAGTAGGTATGTGTCCAACATTTTAGTTATTAGGCACGCTTTTCCAACATATTCATGTTGGATTTTTCTGCTTGTTTAAAATTCAAATGATGTTTTCCAGGAGTATTTAGACCAAAGTTGTGTTCTAAAATTTCTTGAGAGCATTTTTAGGTTGAAAATATTTTCTTAAGGATTAAAATCTAAGGTTCTCAAAATAAACCTTGTTTCCCGCCCCCCTTTTTTTCTCCTGTTACCATGGCCTCGGGCTGCCTCGTAAAAATATGTATCCATCCCTAAAGTTATACAACTGAATTATACTGAAGGTTTGCCAAAAATGTCATTTTATGATGTTACTAAGGGGTCTACCCCTGGCCGCTTCGCTGCCAGCGAAATCGTCGAAATCGCCCGTTGGCGGTTAATAGGTCAATAATTTTAATTGAATAACAAAATGATGTTTCAAAGAAAAATATCCCGCCAAACAATATGCTTAATGACTTGCTCCTTACTTTGAATTTTGATTCCTTTTTTGGAAGTCCGCACCTTGACAGGGCCACCCGCCACATGTAGGTGTAGGTGTCCATTACTAAACAAAGACCTTTGAAAGTAAAGACCAACTCTATTAACACTCTGACCTTTGAACTCCCCTTCCTTACCCCGTCCATCGAGCGTCTTAAAAACGATTTCATTAGAATAGAGTAGAGTCCCTTAATACTGAGAGTGAAGACACTGTGAATCCATTTCTGATTGGTTTCCGCATTTTAGGCCTTCACAGTGTCACAAACGGGAATAAAGATTACATTTTCACCGATTGCAAAGATTATAATCTGGAATGGACCAGGGAATTACGGGTTGGGCAAGGAACAACCGGAATGAGAGAAGGAACGGAGAAAGGAATTTGAGAATGAGCCGATCAAAGATTACGAAAAACGTTCAATTTGTGTAATCTTTATTCCCGTTTGTGACTCCATGAGGGGGTGTTGTCTTGACTCTCAGTATAAAGGGACTCTAGAATAGAGAGGATGTTAAAAATCTCCACGAATCGCAATGTAAACCAAATAGTACCTCTTATGAGAAGGTGAACCAGATAGAGAAGGTGAACCAGATAGACCAGATAATTGACGGTCATATTTCTCAGCGTGGCCATCACTCTCGGAGCGTCCGGAATGCTCAGAACCGCTATCATCAAATTCGGAGCCGTCGGAGGGAATAAATTCGTCAGAACGGCCGGAGTCCCCAGGGCTCTTGGTATTGGGGCTCTCGGGCGAGGACCCGGGGTACTCTCCGTACTTCTGTTTGGATGCTCTTAGGACCGAGATGAGGTGGAGGAGCTTTTTGCGCATCTCGTGGTGGTCCTCCCGGAGGTAACGCTTCCCGCCGGCCACCATCAATCTCCACATGTTTATATAGTAGTCGATCCGGCCGTTCTCCGATCTCCGGACGCGCATGCACGTCCGCACTGTCTTGATCAAATCGAGGAATTTCGGCCCCTCCTCCTGGGACAACAGGGCTCGGAGGAAGAGCCCGTTGACGTCGTCGTGGAAGTTGCTAGGGGTCGGGTATATCTGCTTCGGCACAATCTGTCTGATGATCGGCTGGAATTTTTTGCTGGCCAGCACCTGAATAATCAGAATGCATTTTTGGTCATGCTTGTGAAATACGATAATGAGACTGCTCCACGCAAAAGGGACGGCCAAGTGAATTGACTTTCAACGGACTTACTTTCTTAAAATCACATGAAAATCAAGGTCAGCACGTCAAAAAAGTCTGAAATCTTCCCATGGCGTGCAATCTATGTGCAATCTACGTGAGGTATTTCGATGGTTAAAAAAAAAAAAAAAAAAAAAAAAAAAAAAAAAAAAATCGATGGTTGCCATTCTTTGTGGCAGAGCGACGTGCGACGAATGCGATATTTTTCCTCTAAAAAAACTCTGCCTTCATTACGTTGAATTTCTTTGTCAAATTTGGTACATGAATTCTTGAGTCTCGTGACAACAGAGGTGCGATCTCAAAATTTGGAAAAAATGACAAGCAGCTGAAATTATGAAACAAACTGATGCGAAATATCGCACGTCGCTCTGACGCCAAAAATGGCAACCGTCGAATCACCTTAACACATTTTCTCAAGTTTTCCGCGTTTAAGGGCAGTTTATCTTAGTCCCCGGCGACCAGGTTTGCACAGACAGAGGAGCAAGAAAACCTGACCCGAATGTGCAATTAATTTTCCAATCTTTTTCAAGTGAATAATTTCAATCGGTTTCAAAGGTTCATTTCCATCTTTTTTCTTTGCTGCAAAACGAAAAGCTTTAAGTCGATCGAAAACTTGCCTGAGGAAAGTACTCAACAGGTCACAAGATAGTTCATTTATTTAGGTTAGGTTCTCTCGAGTCTCTCTATGAGCAAACCTGGCTGATAGACAAGGTAGATTTACACAGGTATGGAAAAGTTGAAAATTTCCCATGAGCCTCAGTACGTGTCACATGACCTCGTGACGTAGGTTAAGGGGCCCGTTTTTCAATTAAATTACAATCAAATTAACATTCAAACGTTTGTGCGTTTAAACGCTAAAATTACTATCGCATAACCAAAATTGTGCAAAAAATCCCACAAAATTTTGACAAACGATAAACCGAACATAATAAATCAAAATAATCAAAACATCCAAAATGGCTGACGTTAAGGGGCCGCTGGAGAGCCAATCAGAGGCCAGTTGTTTAGTTCTGTCCATACCTGTGTAAATCTACCTTGGCTGATAGAGCTGAAATTAAAATTATTAATCTTACCAAAAACAAAGGCTAATTTTAAAAACAACATATCGGTGGCCAGAGTGCGACACCACGTACCTCCGTTTGCAACGTTGCACATTTCCTGTCAAGTTTAAATTTAACTGTGGAAGACCAATCGACTTTATTCTCTGAAAACTTCCTTAATGTTTCCTAGCCGTCAGCATAATATTTTGTATGAATGTCAAGGCATAAGTTTGGCTTATTTCTCTTTGAAAAAATAAATAGGAGCGGAAATTTTGAAATACCTCAATGGAGATGCGTGGTCTCATAATTCGGTCATCGATCTGTGCCATTATTCCCTCCATGCAGATCGGTTCTTTTATGTGCGATTCAGATACAGTAATTCCTTATTGGAAACTAAGGATGAAATTAGATGAGTCTAAACTCGAATTTGCAAATTCGGAAGTTCCTGCTCTCGCCAGTGCAGTGGCTAGCCGTTGCTTATAACGCCGGAGAACCATTGTCGGGTCAAATAACTTTTTATGAGAGGTCGAAAGGACATATCGTCAAGGGGAATCCGAGAGCACTGAAAAGCACCCTACCGATGGGGGTCTAAAGAAGCCTCCCCCTCCCCCCAATCGATAGGAGGGTTTTGGGAATTTCCTTAGCCCCTTGGGATTAGGAAACTTCAAGAGACAAATTCGTCTCCGGAGCGATTCGGGGGCGTTCTCACCGAAAAACTGACCGCATTACTGTCGGACTACCTTTTGCAGTTAAGAACAATACAATTCCTGTTTCATCCATAGAATCACTCACTCGCGTTGGAAAACTAAAACACATCTGCTGCGTCTCTAAGGAGCCAGAAATTGCAGTTCCTCGCTGCAAGATGTAGTCCAATTTCAACGACGAGATGTGTCACGTACATATTCGGCAAAAACCCTTCACGTTGAATTTCTTCGGAGGGGACAAGTACGTTTCTACAAGGCTGTAGACGGGAAGAGGCGAGGGGGCCATCGCACCGCCTCCCTAAGTGATAGTTCTAGCCTCCCCCCCCCCCCCCCCNGCACAAACAAGATATAACGCACATTCACGCGGGTACATTTTAGCCCCCATCGTGAAATTTCGTCTCTTCCCTAATACTGCTATTCCAGGCTACGGTTCTGAATATCTAGAGGGGCCATCAAGCCTCTCGCTCTCATGTTTCCAATCATGCAGTTATATTATCTAGAGTACCTTTATAGACAGAGTATGGCCATTTGTATATTTTTACTATACAGGAAAACTGTGCCGCTTTTTGATTGGTCAACGAGTTTTTAGGCTTCATGATGCTCTTACGGCCGTAGATAAACAAATAAGATAGCGACTCACCGTAACGTTGATAAGAGGCTAAAATTTGAAAAAAAATTTAATTACACGGCAGTAACAATTTAAACTAGCATATCTACGAATAACACATGAAAAACACATGAAAACTCGGTAAAATTCCCTTTCGCCTTTGTCACAGGAGGATGTGAGATGTGCATAATCTCAAATTTGCTTGCTGATAGCAGCCGTCTTGTTTGTTTATATTTACGGTCGTAAGAACATCGTGTCAGCCTATTTTCACGCAACCAATGAAAAACCGGCACAGAAATGGCCATACTCTGTCTATAAAGGTACTATAATATTATCGCTTTCAAAGTGACTCTTCTTCTATGTATGATTACCTTATTGATCTTGTCCGGGGGAGTGTTGATCATCATCTTGACGAATTCTTTCTTGAGTTTGTCTTCGGTCATCTTTTCGAGGTTTTTGACGGCTTTGCCAACCGGCGCGAAGACCGACATTAGACTAATGTAGGTGCTACTATCCATGACCTTTTTCCTCCCTGTATTCGCTGCTTTACCAACCGTTCGCACGTAAGGGTTCCTCATGACCTTTTTCGCCCCTGAATTCGCTGCTTGACCGGCAGCTTGCACGTAAGGGTGGCCCATGAACTTTTTCCTCCCTGAACTCAACATTTTTTTGAGGCCACGGGTTTCGAGGCGCGGCTCCGGGATCGTCTCATCCTCCGATTTAATTTTGGCGAGCGTTCGCCTGCCCTCGTCTCGATGTTCGTTCGACACATCAATTCGTTCAAACGATATCCACTCCGAACGATGAATGAGTGCATGCTGTAACAAGCAACGTTCTGAATTCGTAAAGATGACCATACGGCTATTCTGCCATGCTAAGGAAGAACGCCGTATGAGCCTTCAGACGTTGCCAAGTTTCCTCCGATAAAATACTAATTTACAAGGAAAATTGCGAATATTATTTTCCAAAAGTTTCAGACATTTGTGTGCGCAATTTAGTCTAGAGTATCTGAAAATTTCGAGGAAAAATATGCATGAATGTTGTCCAAAATACACATTTTATCAAGGGAAATTTGGCAACTCTCGAATGTTCATACGGCGTTCTTCCTTAGGACGGCAGTATTGTAAGTGCGCATATTCTTAAAACAAGCAGTGAACTCCAACACAATGTGTTGATAAGGCGCGTCATTAACTCGCACATATCAACCCCTTTAGTTTTCATTTAGGTACAGAGATTTCAAAATAGGCAAGCAGCACAACACGAGCATTCACGATATAACATTGCAAGGTCAACGACGCACCTTGACGAGACCGTGTATTGTGAATGTAGGAAGCCATTCGAACGAGTTTAAGTTTTTTGATCTGCCCCAAGCAAAATCTTATCAGATTCTTAAAGAAAGTGCTACGTAATAATTAAGCGAAGAAAGGAAAAATTCTGTCGAACTCCTGAAAGATAAAGTCGATTTAAAGGTATTTTGGGGCTAAAATATCCAAATCACCGGTATTATAAATCCCGTTATATTATTGAAAAGAAATTGACTCGATATAAATGCAATTGAATTAAATATGTCTTGATTTTGTTATTTTAAACGTATTTCCATGCAAAGAAGTTCAACCATGTCCATGCTTTATTCATTCATGAAGTGAAAGTAAGCAATCTACATCCCGAAAATCTACCGAATTGCCGTAAAAAATTGCAGAAACTTGATATACCAGGTCGATACACCCACTCGTTGAATTTACCAACCAATTTCGTGTGTGGACATATGTAAAAGTCAATATGCCATACGTGTACGAACGTTTTACTTCCCAATTATGAATTAATTTTAGAATTGTTCGTTATTTTCGACGTGTTTTACGGGAAATTTTAATAAGAAAACGTGTGCAGTAATTCTAATTTCCTTATATCTTATCGAAGCATCCATTTTTCTCCCTCGATTTTTGTACACAAAGCATGCAACCACTATTTTTTGACTGATTTGAATGAACTCCTAACGACTGTCCGTCAGAATGCATATTTTAAATTGATATATAATTGTACGTGCCTGAAATGGAGATACCTTGACAAACAGAGCTTGTCCTAGGCATTGAAAGGAAAAGGAGAAGAAGAGAACGAATGTATAGAAAAGAGAGCAAACATGGTACATACTACTACTTGTGATAGCGTCACATAAGACATTTTATCCAAAAAACGATATCTATTCATGAATATTGAACGCACAACTTCGTGTTTGATCATAGCTCAAGTTTTCTAATTCATTGGTAAAGGATTCAACAGTTAAAACAAGTTTCTGTGCCGAATTAACACCTAGTAAATTTACGGTAAGATGAAGCTGGACGTCCTTAGTCGCGAAAAATCGAAATTATATCTGGAAATTTCCGAGCAATAACATCTTTTGATGCCAAAAATGTACAGCTCAGTGAAAGTTTCTTCCTTTCCGTGTACTATGGGAGCGTCTCAACTGGTGCTCTCGTATTACTACTCAAAGATTTTAAAAACTTACCGAGAAATTGGAGCTAGCCGTTAGGAATGTTACGATAAGTAGGACACACATCACCTTTTCACACGCGATACGTAGTTTTCGAAATGGGAATATTTGGAAAGGTTGAAATTCAACTTAGGTAAAGCCCAACTTTTTCGCGTCAAAGCAGCGGATGCATGGCTCCAAAACTAGATATTTCCCATTTAAAGCGGCCCTCGTCTGCCGTCGCATCTATGATACATTCTGACGCTTTTTTCATAACTACAACACACGCAAATGCGACAAAAAATGCGCAATTTCCAAGCATGGGTTTTAGCATTTATTTTCAATGCTGTTATTCAGCTGTTGCTCCTTGATGAAAGCAAGGTTGCCACGATAATTCGTGTAGCACTTGTAACAGCTCATGCTCAATTTTATGTCATTCTTCAAAACTTTTATCCCTGAAAACGGTGAGTACCGTATCTCTTTAAAAGGTTAACACCGTGGACAATTATTTTCATGCGTCATAAATGCTCTCGTGATGCTTTTCGCAGTTTTTCTAGTTTCCAAAATATCACAATTCAAGCATTACCACTTTAATATGATGATATTTTCCCTCCTTATCCGACACCGTCTCCCAATTCGAGGTAAAATTACAACTTTTGTTTTGCCATGACGCATTTTACTCCATTTTTTTAATTTTTTATATTTTAATGCCCATGATTTGCCAAAAGTTCCGCAGAAACTCTCATATTTTTTCTTCTGATTAACAGCACGCAGAAACAAACTTTGGCGGATGGTTATATGGGTAAAAAATGACAAATGTTTAGCTTCCTGTAATTTTCAGTTTTCAGGTATGTTTTCTGCCCTGTAATATATAATTGTATTTCTTTTTAAAAATAAAGGTTCTTACATATCGACGGTGAAACTACCAAACCACATATCTCGTTTGCGGTGTTTAAAAATCTACGCTCGCATTTTATTTTTTTGAAGTAGACCAAATCAATATCATTCCTTGAAATTTTCACAGAATTTTCTCCGCACGAAGAGGAAAAATCACAGAAATTTTCAAGACTGGACGTTAAGTAGTTTTTCATTTAAAAAATAAAGTATGACAGGAAGTCTGCGACGTCGCAAACCGAGATACGTGGTTTGGTAGTTTCACCGTCGATATATAATTATCTTGGTGCGCTTTCTTTTTTCAGCAGAAAGTCATCCTACGCAAAGCATCTTTGGCGAAATCATAAAGAGAAATAAAAATGTCTTTGACATACACCACAAGTTTCCAACCATCGTCGTTTCAAAATGACAGTCTGTTCATCTCTTGGAGTTTTGTAAATATCATTTCAATGGGCCGCCATTTTGAATTGAAGATTCAGCGAGAACCCGTAATCTTCAATGGAAATTCCCCTTTTTCGATGCCTTTTTGTGATGTTTCGTCATTGTTTTTAATGTCCTCAACATGTGGCACGCAAGCCCTTTTCTTTTTTCTTCATCAGACAACACTTTGACTTATAGTGCATCAAGTGGAAGAGGAAAAAAATCGATAGCCGGAGTGTTGCTGTGTTGCGAGAATGAAATATAACGGCAGCAAAAAATTATATTCCAATCAAGTTGAGTCACGTGATGAAAAAGTAACCGAACTAAAATTTTATATTCTCTCTTCGTCGGAAAATTCTCTGCGTAACTTCATCATTTTAATGGGATTTTCTCGTGTAGAGGTATTTTAGTACAGTAATTCAAATGCGTTCAATATCACAAAATTTGCAGAGCATAAGGTGAACGAATTTATCTGGGAAAAATCTGACTGCATTTTACGATGCCTAATTTTCTCTCATGTTTTATTTCTTTTAAAAGAGCAACTAAACTTTTCCCCGTCTTTAAGCGATCTATGAATGGACCCTAGATAGTGGAGAACATATTCACAAAATTTCAAGTTCCAAAGTTACTTACTTACGAGTAGTAAGGCTGATTTCGGTGAAATTTTCACGTATTTATGTGATAAAATTGCTTTAAAATCGGAATTTATTCGATATAAAGACGATCAATACTTCATTGTTATATTAATTTGGTTGGTTATAGGACATTTCGTCAACGATTTTTTTGTCCGAACACTTGTTTTTTCCAGTAGTTTAAGTCCACGCGTTTCTTCGACAGAGGAGTTTTGGTCTACGTACCAATTATTGAGACCCAAAGTTAATTGGGCAACATGTAGATACAAACAACATTTGCTCACGATATTTTTGGATGAAATGTATAATGTCTTGGAAGAATGAGGGTTTGCTCGTTTTTTGTTTGTTTGGTTGGCCAAACAGAAACAAATATATATTTGCGAATTTTGGCGTCAATTCCATGAGTGAAAATTCACTAAAACTCTCTACACCTCTTTGGTGCAACAGCACTTAATTATCTTTCAAGAAAATCCATCTACTTATGCCTGAATCGGACGATCCTTTTGATTTTCCTTAGCTGAAGGCTCTTAGATTTTTCCTGTGTACGATAACTTCGCGCCGGCGCCGGCGTGCCGCGGCGCTTCGAACTACTATTTCGCCATGAAGGTTTCGCACAGTATCATACAAGATTGAAGGCACTCCAATGTATCATGATTGATGGCATCTTTCAAAAGCACGAAGTTCCCTCGCAAATTAAATCGAATGACGACGAAATAAAGGGAGCTGTATTCGAAAAACTTGCTAAGTCCAAGTATCTGATCCAGTAACGTTTAGCATGATTTTTGAACTGAACTAAAGGATAAAGTGACTTGATTCAAGCAGAAATATGCTCAAATTTACCGCCGAGAAGATTTCCTAATAAATCAATAAAGAAAATAATACTTGTTTAGAGAAGAAAGGATGCTTAAATAAAAAGAAAAGTCACTTAGATCGAGCAGAACCCCGCTTTCATTCAGCTATTTTATTCTTGATTCAAAATAAAATCTTCTTGACGGCATATTCAAAAATGTTTCTGCCTAAATCGAATCACATTGTTCTCTAATGAAATTCAAAAATTATGCTAGCTAAACGTTATTAAAAACGGATGCTGGGTCTAAGTGAGTTTTTTAGATTACCACTTTCTTTTTGTAACGTAGTATCCTGATTTATTTTGCAAGGAAAGCTCTGTACCCTTAAAGGAAGCTTGTCATTCTTGATACGTCGGAGCGCCTATGATACTGTGCAACACCTATGTCGCGAAATAGTTGCTTGAAACGCCGTAGCACTCTGCGGCGCGGCGCGGCGGGCGACCAGCGTGACACGCGTGTAGGCGCATACAAACCTAACAGGGATACTTCACGCATTGCGCAACGCGTGAAGTATCCCGTTAGGTTTGTAGGCGCCAGTGCGCATTTTGCTCGTTGTTAGGCTCAAATATTCAGACTCGCGGAGTCAGCGTTTTTCA